CTTTACATTTTATATAGTTTCAAGGGTAATGCATGCTTGTTTATTAAATGTATATGCCAGCAAATCCATATGGACTCATGGTAGTAGCATACAATAAAAATGAAACATCAGTAGCAACAATGTGCATAAAATATGGTCGTCATTCATATTAAAATAGCCCATGAATGGGTCATGCATCAAAACAAAAAGCACACTGGCTTAGAGCGTTATAGGAATAGCAAAAATCTTTTCCCCCTTTTAAGTATAGATTGTTGGATGGAAGTCTTGTTTTAAAACCATGGGGGCGATGGAAATTCAACTCTTAATTTAATTTTACACTGTGCCTTTAAACCTATGCCTTGTCTCTGTTTGTTTGTTCCTCTCCCACCACAGGTAGTGTTTCAGTAAACCAAGGCACATCAAGCAATGGCACATTTACTACTGACTCTACAACAGCACAACAAGGGAAAGTGTTTTTCGGCTCCCTTGCTCCCAGCACTGTGGTGTACACGGTCCCAAACACCAGCCAGGCAGCTGAGCCGGTGAAACAGGAAGGACTGGAAACGAGCTTGGTGTTTTCTCAAGTCATGCCCCTTGGTCAAAATGCCCAACTTCATGCTAGTCTACCTTCAGACAACTTATCCGGTGGGGTCCTCCAGCCAGGAGGAACCTCCTCCTTAGTTAACGTGACTGTATCGCATAACTTTTCCCTTGGACCACCTTCTCTTTTAAATGCAGAAGAACTCAACTCAGCTATTTCTGAGAGCTCACCAATGCAAGCCCCCACAACAAGTGGGGCGACTGTTGTTTCCATTAGTAATGCAAACTATGCAACGCTTCAGAACTGCTCCCTCATCAGCAGCCACGACCTGGTGTCTATTTCTCCAGCGCAGCCGGCACTAGCAGGAATCAATCCGGCAGCAAGCAATGACATTGGATCCCACCCCTCTTTGCAAGGGCATCTCCATTTCACTCGAGAACAGCGGCTGATCCTGCAGTCCATTCCCAGTCTAAAGGAAAACTTTTTATCTGATTCAGAAAGCAGATCAGGAAGCAGTTCCGTGATGTTGGATTCCAAAACCAAGTATGTTACTAGCAATATGGTTGATGCAATCTGTGAAGAACTGGGGACAGACAAAAAGCAGCTGGCTAAACTCCAGACAGTACAGATGGAAGAAGATATGCAAGACTTGTAAAAAAAAAAAAAAAGATTAATAATAATGATGCTTTTATTTACATTTCAGTAGAAAGGTCTCTTCCTTTGAAGGCTAGAAGCACAGCAGTGGATTTTTTTTCGCATACACATATAGAATAATAAAAAATGCACAGTTGAAGAATCCAGTTTACTAAGTGGAGGTCTTCACTAAGAATACAAAGTTGCCGTGCAATGTTTGCATGAATGCTAACTTTTGTTAAGCCTGATCAAAAGGAATTATACATGGCTGGGAGGGAAATGCCAGTCAAATATGAGATGGTTTGGCTTACCCAAATAGCTACGCTGGACAGGGAAAACATCAAGGTAATTTCAAAATGTTTATCCTTCAGCTATTGGTTAGGAACAAAATTACCTTTCTAAAACGACTGGAACTAAAAGAGAAAAGAGATCTTGCCTTTTGGTCTGGATTCAACTTTACTTGTAGATGGTGGGCATTGAGAAAGTGGTGTTTCAGTTTTCACCTTTAAGGAGTACTTTAGGTAATACCTCACAAGCTACTGTTACCTTCTTTTGCAAGCACAATTGCAAATAACTATCTTCAGTGGTTTTGTGTGTGTGTATGTGTGTTAAGTTTTGTTTTTCCAGCAAGATATCAACATTCTGCACTCTCAATTTTTATAGCTTTTGAAATGGTGCACGTTTTCTTTGTCTTGTTTGAATCAGTGTGGGAGGGGAGAAAACATTTTGCCACTTGAAGTTACGCAACCCAGAATCCTTGGCTCTGCCACCTATGTAAATATTGTTTTAATTGCTCTAATGAGAACTCCTGTTTTTATTGGTAGGATGATTCTATTTATAGTTATTGGTGTCCACTTTACCATTTTGAGATATGTTGAACAATCCAGTTTTTCAGACAGTTTAATTTATTTTTTTCTTTTTATATTTTTGAACAGGAAACTATTTCTGGCTATTTTTAAAGATTTGTTTCCCCTGCTAAAGCTTCATCAACTGATATTTTTTTGTAACAATTTGGACTAGTCTTAGGGTTGACTATGAACAAATGCAGTTATAGACTTTGGGACAAACCCTCGTGGAAGCGTTACTTCTGTTTTAGTTTTATAGAATTTTATAAGGTTTGAGGGTTGTTGTTGGTTTATATTTTTTTTAAAGATCCTACGTGCCTTTCTTCCTAGTGGCCTTAAATCCTTGTTCTGACCAGCACAGCTGTTAAGCAGTGGAAGAGTCTGCCTAGAACAGTGGTAAATTCCTCCTTGCTGGAGGTTTTCAAACAGGCTAGATGGTTACTGCCAGGGATAGTGTAATCCAGTGTTGTCCAAACTTGGCCACTGGCTGGGGAATTCTGGGAGTTGAAGTCCACTCATCTTAAAGTGGCCAAGTTTGGACAACACTGATTTAATCAAATCCTGCACTGGACAGGGTTTGGAGTAGATGACCCAGAAGGTCCCTTCCAACTCATACACTCTATGATTCCATCAACATATGAAAAGAGAAGTCTGTCTGGCAGCAATCAAAATGTGGCCCTAATTCCTTTACATATGCAAGAGATCCTCTTGAAAACTGGACTGCCATGATAAATAAGGGATGAGATTTCCATATTACTGCAAAAGGTGGATGTGAAATAAATCCAGGCTACTTTTGACAGATATGCTCATAAACATGCAAAGTATTTTCCCTCTTCCTTCCATAACCCACCCCCGCCCTGTTGAATTGCAATGCTTTGGCAAAGAAAGTTTATGCTGTCATTCATTTAGCCTTTCTGGATGAAGGAATGTGCCTACAGGTTTGAGAAAAGAGGGCTGCAATACAGTATACCAAACTCAAAACAATCATTTATATAATATATATTGCTTCATTATTTTGATGGTAGCAGGAATCTTTGAGAATCTCTTCTTTTGGGGAAAAATCCATTTGGTGAATAAGGTTAAAAGAACCACAGACGTATGAAATATCAGAGCAAACGCTAAATGAATCTGTATTGCTGGTAGCTAAATTGCAGGTAAACAATACTGGTGGTAGTAGAAAAATTGGATTTGGCTAAAAATCAGTGATACAGCTATACGTAGGAATCTTCTGCTGAGTGCCTTTTCCAATTGTGATCAGGCACACAAGCATTCTCCCACCCTTATTTCTAACTGGTTGTCTCTTGTTTTTGCAATATACCAAAGATGAGGAAGAATGATCCAGAGCCAGGTTTTCTCAAAACCCTCTGCAGAAATAGAACATGTCAGCAGTGGCTGTCTTTGCTGCAATTGTTATTAAATGATTACAATGAGAACAGGAGCGCACATTTGGAACATTATGTATAAATGACTGTATACTTAGGAAAAATCAGTACTTTCCAAATCCATCATATAGCAAGAACCTGAAGGGTAACACTGTTACTATTTGTTTGAATGTTAATTTAACACTTTTGAGTGTGATGATCCATTTTCCCCCTTGTTTTATTTAATGAGGTGACAAAGATTGCCTTACCAGCTTTTATTAGTCTGCCTGGATTACCAGTTAGTGCAAGTCCCATCAATTGAATAATCTTATCTTTCAACAAAGGCTGATAGAACACGCATATAGTGGGAGGAACCCTTTGGTGTATGAATGAGAACCATAATGTAGCTTGCTTCTTGCACTGTTCAATACAGATGTCATACTTGGAGGGGAAATCTCATGTTTATTGCTTTCCCTGCACATAGAAAAATTAGCACTTTCAACAAGTTTCACTGCTAGTTTTTCACTTGGCAGAGAAATTGCTTCCCTACCAATAACAAGTTTTCAAACACAAAATGGTGTAATCGAAGAGAAGCTGTATCACAGAATTCTGCTGCATACATAATCTGAGCCTCCTACCCTATTTAAGCAGCTGAAATGTAGAGGTCCACCTTAAATTATTAAAATGGTAAGTTAAGGTGGTTGCATCCAAGACTGTCCTGACTGGAGAAAGGCATATCTGGCTACTTTCATCTGAGAGAACAGCTGCAAAAGGGGGGGTGCAGCAGGAATAATTGTTCCGATCAGTGGTATTCCCACTACCAGAGATAGGCTGGCCCAAGTGGTTTAGTTGATCATCTGTTCTGAGAGGAATAAATTGCTCTGTTAAAATCTGTTTAAAAGATTTATAGCCTTTCATATTTTAAAAATATCTCTCAGAAGCAAGTAATTCAGAAAACTAATTTGTCCTTCTCTGTGTGGTCTAAATTAATATGATGATATAATTTCAGTAAGCTTGTAGGAACAATGCCAAAGTTGTTGTCCAGTTTGGTTGTTTAAGTTTATTTTACAGATTAGCATTGTTTCTCTAGTAATACAGAAAACTGCTTGGTAAAATTGTGGAACTCATATGCTTGTAATTCAGAAAGATTATCTTTTCCACTTTAGGATCCCAGGCCATTAACTCTTCAAGGCAGCCTTTACGTTAAGCCCTTACTGTTCAGAAATCAGTACAGCTTCCCAAGATTTACCTCTCTATTTAAGGAAAATCAAGCTTATGAATGGCTGATTCCCACAACCATTTTTTGGAGTTGAAAAATATATTAGCAGGTAGCAGGCCACTTCACTGTGCAATGGGGGAAATTGCTATGAGATGGATTTTCCATCTCGAAAATCTGCATATGCTGTCTGATTGCCATGAATGCATCCTAGAAGCTATGATTTTAAAAAGAACGGTTTTGGAATTCCCTACTTGAAATAAATGTCTTGAAGAAACAGAGGATCAGTCCACTGAGGCTCTCTCCAAATAGGGCATTCCCACATCATCTGTTCACTTATGTGATTGCCTGCTGCTGTCAATGCTGTTGGGCCGAAGAACCCCTTAATTTCTGGCTCAGTGGTGCACTGCAGGAATTCTTGCCTTGGCCCAGCTCCTTGGTTCTCCCTTTTCCACCTGAGGCTAAAGAGACATCAGGCCACAGCACTGTTTCCCTGTCTTTGTAACATGAGGGGGGAACAACTCTGCATTCTTCATGGTAGTTGGTCATTTAAAAAAAAAAAAAAACTATTGTAAACACATACTGTGAATTTAAGAAGCAAGTTGGAGAGAGTGTTGGTTGAATGTGAGTTTTTGCATTCCCCAATTGCTTAGCCAAAGGGGGCACAAGAGCTGTTCAACTGAGAAAAATCACAAGGCCCTAGGAATCGGTTTGTGATGGTTTGGAGGGTGACTATGATGGCTGTGGAGAAAGGCTCTGTGGTAAATGACAAACGTCTTGGTTTCAGGTATGCATACTACTCCGTTCTGGGCTAAACAGTAAATCATTTTGACTGCTTTTTATATTTATGCCTGGATTTCTGTTTGCAAAAAGTATCTATCCAAAAGAGAAAATGCGTCTAAACAATTAGAAAACCCATCATTCTTTTTACACATTGATGGGTGCACAATCTTATGTGTACTGTATGAGAAACTGGAAGGAGTTGGGTAAAATGACAAAAGTTGAGTTTCAAACCATATTTTGTTCCAGATTTGCTCCAGTACAACCTGAGTGACAGGAATTATTGCTGAGTTAATAATAACAGTTTCATCTGGACTCAGTTCATTAAAACCTAGACTTCCAGAATCACAGAACATTTGAATTATTTTATTAGTGGATTTTAATATATCTTAATTCCCATTCAAGCTACAATCCCACAAGGTGCCATGGGACATCAAAAATTACTTGGAAGAAGTAATATCTCGCATGAGCACAGCACCTCTCTGCTATTCATTAAAGCAGTTGTATCTTTTTTTCCCCCAGCCTTCCAGGTAAAGCTGGAAAAAAAAGTTGACAAGGTTGAGAAACACTGCTTTAAGGGTCAACAGATATCGGGACCCCTAAAATAGTCACAACATTTTTTCAGGCTCGTACTGAAGCCTAAAACAGATGAGTTGCTTTATTGTATAATTTATTTTCTCTGTTGTACTTTGCCCAAATGAAAAAGACAAATTGAATAATAAGTTTGGAATTCTGCAAAAAGATTTCATAGAGTTGGAAGGGGCCATTTGGGTCATCAATTCCAATCCTATGTTCAGAACAGAGAGCCAAATGAATATAT